AGCCCTTCAAGATACTATGTACCATCCAGATTATAAAATTCATCTCCCAAGCATTTCCGTTAACATTTGAATGAGGATGAAAATCAAATTTGACTTTTAACATCCTTCATCTGCCGTCTCCCCTACAGTCACCTCCCGAAGCTAGACAGTGAGTGCGCCTGTTCTTTGAAGTTAACTCGTTAACGATTATTAAATCGCTACTGAAAGGCTGCAAATATGTACCTCTCAGCGGACAAACTCCCCTGGCATGTTATCTGTCTATTTGGCCAATTTTTACTCTTTCCGACCGCTTTTGAGGCCTGTTAGAGGCTACCCAGCCACAGCTCGCTTCCCGGATGATCCTGAGACGTTTCCTGGAATTGACTGCTTTTGCGCATGTGCCGTGACCTTTGACCAAGACATGAAAATCAATCCATGGTTCATGGCCTCCAGCTCTGCCAGATTTTCACGTCAGTGTCTGGTATTTTTTCACGCTCCGGGGGGCTTCAATTGACATGTAGGATACGTTAACGTACGTTACGTGACAAGTACAAATATCAGGTAAGCCAGCGAGCTCGATACGCGAAAATTGATGCACAATATCGACCTCAGACGGAAGGTAAATATTTGCAAACCGAACGCTCGATTTCCGAAACACATACTTTTTGCTCTTACGGTATAGTGTATACCCACAGAAAATTATTATATATCCACTATCTCTATATGTAAGGCACACTTAAGTTAACGGTCTTACCAATGAGGTTTATAGAATGTTATCATTGTCAATTTTGACTGAAGGAGGCCATATAGTGTTGTGTGATAAATCGCCCTTTATTGTAACTTTATGCTTGAAATACATGAATACATAAATTATGATGTGCCTGCACAGCTCCAATTTTATCAGCTGACAGATAGTGTCCTTGATATAACCCTGTAAACCTGCATATTAGTGTGCAGGTGGTATTTGAGCCCTGTTAGCAAATATTATCTTGCAATTGTATGTTTTCCACATTAAGCTGTGGTGACACTGCTTTGTTTTGTAGTGAAAATTGAAGTACTATTGAAATTTAAAAAAAAGGAATTTTCAACCCTGTCAATGCTAAATAATTGTTATGGGTTCACCACACCACGAAGTGGTGTGGTGAAACCATATTGCTTTTTCTGATGTTTCTTCTCCTTCTCCTCCTCCTGCCATATCTTTAAATGGATTCAGCTTCTTCATTTTAGGGCCTAAGGTCCTGAAATTTGGTATGGAGGTACAGTGGGCAAATACCCCTAGGCGTTTTTTAAATTATTGTGATACAGGCTTTTAGAATGGTTTTATTTGAGTTTTTTGGCTGTGTTATAGCAAATGTATTACTGTGTTAGTCTGCCTTGTTTACCACGTTTGGGCATGAGTCATCACAATGGAATGCAGGGCATCAACCAATAGGCATGCAGCTTTCCTCTATACTTCTTGCTGATTGGCTGTTGGGATTTAACTTGATTAACACCTGCACAGAAGCATTTCCATACTGACAGTATGTCTGTATTCAAGTGTTTTGGTAGGTATTTCAAGCTTTCCTGCTCCAGCATTGGAATGCCGGGCATGGACGTTTTTTTTTTTTTTTGAAAAATCAACAGTTTGCATTATGCAATTAAAAATCCTAACCAATAAAGTAGGGAATAGCTATCCAACTGTTGTTTTAGTTGTATTTTACTTCATATTATAGTTATATCAATGTAAATCATTGTTTTCCCTTGTGTTTCCCATTCTTTCGCTGCCATGTCGTAAATGTGGTGAACCCATCGCTGTATTTGCTCCAAAGCAAATATTGGCCTTTCTAGTTGTTTTTTTTTTTGCAGGTGACACATCAGGTGAAAATCTACTAATGGTGCTGTAGAAGCGGTACAACAACTGTCAACAGTGAAATAGAACTCAAACTTTCCAGAGACACAAAAGTATGACTTAGAAGTTAGATCATCAAGACAGAAAACTCTGTTAGGCATTCCAAAATTGGGCTATATTTACTCTCACTTTAGAATAGAAATTTAACAAATGAAATCAGTTTCTGTAAAGTATTCTGACAGACAGCCCTCCAGAAAATATTCAGTAATGTTAATGTAAAACATACTTCTGACAGTCACTCATGTTAGGGGGCCCACAAGCCCTTTTCCGTAGAGCGTAATCGGCGGTTTCAATTCTACATAGAGCGTAGACGGACCACTCTTCACATTTTGCGTAGAGCGTATTCGCCGTTTTAATTCTATGTAATGCGTTGTAGCCACTTGGAATTTATCGTAAAGCGTAATCGAGAGTTTCCGAATTCAGCGTAGAGCGTTGTCGGGACCCCCCCTTGCAGGCCCCCATGTTAGGTCCAAGCCACTCCTGCAACATGGCAATGGATGGGACAGAATCTGATGCAACAGAAATGATAGCAGCGCTACAACAAGGACTTTCAGAGGAGAGCAAACAAAAGGCTCAAGTGGAACTTAACGAACACGCGGAACATCTACATAACGATATCCAGGCGGTGCGAGACATGGTCATCACCAGACCAGACATCACGTTTGTGAGGTCAGACGACAGTTTTGTGCTGAGGTTCCTGAGAGCACGGAAGTTCAGCTGGGTGGAGGCATTCATGCTGTATGCTCGGTAAGGATAACTGTAGATAAATATTTCTTCATTTAACTTTTTTTTAAGCAGGCGTGTTGCACTGAATGATGATTATTCTGTTTGGCCTACCAGAAAAATCATCATTATGTTTACCATTAGGAAAATATTGTCTTTGCTCAGTTTCCTCTTCTTCTTCTCCAGACACTAACCTCTGACCTGGCCAATGACCTGATTTGTTGATATCTGTCACCATGATAACTGGTGTTGGGTTACATCATGTTGCAATTTTATAGCGGGAGGGATTTAGACTCCTGTCTGACCATATACTTGTATATGAATGTGTTTGTCGTAAGAATTAACAGAGCAAACCATAAGCAAAGGTAAACATGTTTTACAACAATGTAATTTTCCAACATATTGGATGTAGTTAAGACTGTTAATGTGTTACTGCAATATATAGAATTAAAACAAACTTTTATGTGACTGTATATTTTCCAGTTACTATGAGTATCGTCAGAAGCATGCTGCCATGTTTAAACACTGCACGATCGAGAACCCCGGAGTACAACAGGCACTACTGGACGGCTTTCCCGGGGTGCTGGAGGACACCGATCACTTCGGCAGGAAGATACTGGTCTTCTATCCTGCAAACTGGGATGTCACAAGGTGGGAAACTGTCTAAGCCTAATATTCTTATACTAATGTCAATGACCTGGACCAGATGTCTGTCACTATGGTAACTGGTGCTGCACAAAGGACAGGTAAAGTGTAGCTATTAGAAACAGATCAGCACCAAGGACAGGGAAAGTGTAGCTACGAGAACAAATCAGCACCAAGGACAGGGAAAGTGTAGCTACGAGAACAAATCAGCACCAAGGACAGGGAAAATGTAGCTACGAGAACACAAACATAAGGAAAACATATTGTTTTTGCTCTTCTTCTTCTTCTCCAAACAAATAAGGTCTAAGACCTAAACCAGACATCTGTCACCATGATAAGTAGTGTTGGCTTACATCATGTTGCAATTTTATAGTAGGAAGGATTTAAACTCCTGCCACCATATATATGAGTGTGTTTGAGTAAGAATTAACAGAGCAGACCAAATGTGAAGGTAAACATTATGCATTTACTTAGCAAATGTTACCTTTAAGTGTCAATAATGTCCTTTTTCTGGACCATGTGTAGGTACTCCATAGAGCATGTGCTGTTGGCCATCCTGATTTCCCTGGAGCACATGATTCAGGACCCAGAGATCCAGGTGCACGGCTTCGCCATCATCGTGGACTGGAGCCAGTTCAGCTTCCGCCAGGCCGCCAGGCTGTCCCCGGCTCAGATGAGACTTGTTATCGAGGGGCTTCAGGTCAGGGTAGTGCTGTGTACTGGTTTGCTGGAACTAGTTCCAGACTTGTAAAAATGTTTAGGTTGAAGTCCAAAGAAACCTTAACTTCCGGAACTAGTTGTGGACTTACGAACAAATCATGTCACATTCTCCAATTTGTCCTAAACCACCTTAAATCTTCAATAGTCAAAAATTAGCAAGTTGCAAAATTTAGAAAACATTGCCATTGGGCATCGTCAAGTGTGTGGCCACAGTTTTGCCCAGACATGCCCCACAAACAACATATTTTGTTTCTAAGTAGTGCAGTTCTCGCTACAAAATTTTGCAGTAAAGATGCCCCATTTTCAGTTGGGGGAAATGTGCCTTCCATGATATTTTGTATACGCCCTGAGTTTACAAATGTAGGTCCAGACTTGTGGCCGGAACCTGAACCTTAACCTCTGGACTTAAATCTGGACCTGGACCAGAACGTGGGTTTAGCCTTAACCTTCACCAACTCTGATGTCTTGTTTACTTCAGGACAGCTTCCCAGCTCGTTTCGGAGGCATTCACTTCATCAACCAGCCGTGGTACATCGACGCAGCCTTCACCATCCTCAAACCTTTCCTCAAGGAGAAGACCAGAGAGAGGGTTGGTCTCAACTTCTTAGTTTGGCATGACGGTATGGTTTCTTGAAAGTTCATCTGTGTTGGTAGAAGTCAATATGAAACAATTTTAAACTTAAGACCAACACAAAAAATTAGACTCACACAAATTTTCGACTGTACAACTCCAGTCTTTGTCAAGGAAGGAGCAATCCACCGCTTCTGTGACGTCACGCAGATTAAACACACGTGACTCCGTGAGCAGCGGATCATTGGTTGCAGAAAGTTTGTGGCACCCCCCGTCTCTGTTGAGGGATGGTTGTAATGCCCTGATGTAGATGGTATGGTTTCTGTTATAATTTCATTTATTATATTCTTATAAGTTGATTTTTTTTATCAATGTCATTCTCCTACAATTCCCCCTTACTTTGGCTTTTAGTTAAAAGCACGAAAATGATAAACCTTCTATTTTTCATGATTTTTCATAATTTGTAAACAGTGCATCTTTCTTTCTCCTTCCAGACTGAATCAAATTCAGTTCCCAACAATGTTCTGAGAGGTTTGTGTTAGCTTTTATTATACATTTTAGTCATGTGTTTGTTGTACTGTCTTCCTTTATTATTTCAGTCCATGCTCTAGGTATGGATGAAACATATTTTTTTCTTAATCATTAATGTTTGGTTAATTCTGAAATTGTCAGCAGTTGTTAAACAATAGCAGTTACAGAGAACTGAGAACAGATTCCACAATGCGGTTGTGTAAAAAAGAGTCTCTTTACTCAGTGACTTTCCAACCTGATGAAACTATTCATGGATGTATATTATTATGTTACTGATAACAACAGATTTTGATGCATGGGAACAACATGAAGAGTCTACATGACAAGATCCACCCCGAGATTCTTCCTTCGGAGTTCGGTGGACAGAAGCCTCCCTACAACATCCAGAGGTGGGCCCGACTGTTACTGGGGGAAGACTTCGAGCTGACAATTCCTGACAATGTTCAAAGAGGTTTGTTTTTGTGTTTGTTGTAGTGTCTTCTTTTATAATGTTTACCGAAGGAAAACATATTGTTTTTGCTCTGTTTCTTCTTCCATTCCAAACAAATACATGTAAGGTCAATGACCTAAACCAGACATCTGTCACCATGGTAACTAGTGTTGGGTTACATCATGTTGCAATTTTATAGCAAGAGGGATTTGTACTCCTGTCTGACCATATATATGAATGTGTTTGTGTAAGAATTAACAGAGCAATTACCATATGCAAAGATAAACATCATGCTTTGCAAATGTTACCTTTCTAGTATTTTCTTAATGTTTTGTTAATTCTGAAATTGTCAACAGTCATTATGATCAACTTACGTTATATACATTATACACATTGCAGATGATGTTTGTCAACCCAATGACCACCATTCAGCAAGGAGAGACATGATGAAAAGGTAAGGTGAAATTCAGACTCAACCTTCCATTGTTCTTTTTATTAGGTGTTTGTGGAACTATATGTTCACAGTGGCGACAGGTGCAGCAAAAAAGAAAGTTGGCAAATTAATTGTTTCTGGTAATGATAAGTTCATGGTACAGAAGTGACCGGGAAAACCGCAAATATGACCTGGCTTGCTTTCTAGTGTCACAGCAAGTTAGTAATACTTAGAACACTCCATACAAGTCAAATTGTGATCTTAGCACTGACATGCTAATGTTATAATGTTTGTGTGCATTATTCAAATTGTATATTCTAAATGTATTTGTGTACAGATCCCAGTCAGCGTACCTTCCAGAGGAGCTGGGCGTAAAAGAAGAGCAAATTTTCTCTATTGACTGATTCATCCAGCAACACCTGACACATCTACAACAGACTTCACATCCCAGGGTTGGAAATACCCACTGTCGCTCTCTCACTACAGGGCTCGAAATACTGGGTGCATGTGCACCTTAGTACACCCAAAATTAGAGTGTTGCACCTAATTTTTTTTCTGTGGGTGCACTGGTGCACCCAAATATTTTTGTAGGAATTTTTTATATCAGAAGTGTATAATAGTATACCGGATATTCTTGGTCTCTAAGTATCAGAAAAATGATAAAATCTTTGTTGTAGTAAATAATTAGTGTTAAAGATTTTGAAGTTAGCTCTCATTTTACATTCAAGCTCAGAAGAGGAGCAGTAAAACCTGCAATTACTAGTAGGTTTTGTTTCATATGGTGCACCCAAAAATTTTCTGTGCACCTAATTTTTTAGGTTGGGTGCACCAGTGCACCTATTTCCAAACATGAATTTCGATCCCTGCACTAGCTTTTGGCTCAGATTTCCCACCTGGCAACCTGAGAATGAGAAGTATTTTGAACCCTGCGTCTTATTTCTACATGTATTTGTGTCAGATGGATCTTAAAGATCAGAAGTGATGTTGGTTTTATAAAGTTAGTCCTAGGGAGAAATCTGTGGACCTTGAGGAAAACAATTTGTCTGCAAGCTTAAGGCCACACCAATTTAATTTCTTGGTTAACGGATTCACCCGCTTCATTTTTTCTGATTTGCAAATAAAAATAAAAATTCAGAATCAACTGCAAAATGCTCATATTTTGCCCTGAACAGTTGAAAACAGTCATTTTCTTCCTAGTCGTTACAGTTATTCCATCTTTCAATGCAATGGTATCATTAAAAGTTCAAATTCATTGTTTAAATTTTCAACCAGCCTGGTGTGTTGCCTTCATGGCTCCTATTGTACCATTTTGGGCAATAATAGGATGCCTAGGCCTGTTTTTATTTTATTTTTTTTTTGCCCGCCCGCTCCATTATTTTTCTAGAGAAATCCATTAACCAAGAAATTAAATTGATGTGGCCCTAGGGAGAAATGTGTGGACCTTGAGGACAACATTGACTGCAAGGATATTGAATGTGAAGAACATTATGATATCTGACCATGTTTTGTCATATCATGTGGCAGACTGAATGTAAACATGGATGTACATATGAAAGTCTGTGTTCATCCTTCTCTCTAT